AGTAGTTCTCAACCACAAGCGAGTCAAACATTTCTGTTGTTAAAGTGAGACACTTGTTAAGTGAGTTTTGCCCCATTTTACGACCTTTCTTGTCATCCTTGTTAAGTAAATCGCTGCAGTTGTTACGTTAGTTTGTTAAGTGAATCTGGCTTCCCCGTTGACTTTGCTTGCCAGAAGGTCGCAAAAGGGGATCCACATGGCCCTGGGACACGGGACTGTCATATATATGAGTCGGTTGCCAAGCGACTGAATTTTGATCCCATGGCCATGGGGATGCTGCAAAGGTTGTAACTGTGAAGAATGGTCATCAGTCACTTTTTCCCGTGCTGTTGTAACTTTGAACAGTGACTAAATGTCACTGTTGTAAGTCGAGGACTGCTATAATTTTGGGTAGGAAGAATCCCAGGTTCCTTCCCTTCCTGTTCCGCCTTATCCTTTCCTTTTCATTCGACTGAGCCCTTGTAGCTGGATGTTGGGAGATTTTGACTAGTTTCTGCAAAGTCTGTGCTCTGTGACCTGGTCTCTAGGCAACACACCCACAAGTACTCAACAGCTAGTATTCACTGTTTACTACACCACTCTTCCTTAATTCTAGTGTAACTCCTATTCCTTCACTACTTCTTTTTGTGAATAAGTCTTCTATTTGTCTTAGGCTGCTTCAGCGATTTAACTTTCTCAAACACAATCACCCCGCTCCTGTCCTCTCACCCTTGGCATACTGGAATTATATGCCCAGTCCTCAAAGGTCAGGTTGGTTAGACATTCTAGAATGACAGCACAATGGAATGACATTCAGATGTGTGGGAAACTGACACTCCTTGGCCAAGAATGCAGGTTGTAACTTTAGGCTCCAAAGCTTGAGCTCCAAAAACCCTTCCACCTTTGATACACACCTCGTTGGAGTAAGTCCTCTTGACACTTTGCCGGGGTATCTGCTGGCCTTGTGGTGGGGTAGGGTAGCCATGCTGGGGCATCCTCTGCCCAGCGTACAGGGCGCTCATTGCGGGACTCCTCGCTGTGTTTATGTTCATGGGTGACATCCCGGAGGCGTTCAACATGTTGGCTGGATTCATCCCGGTTGGTCCTCGAGGCCCCGAATGAGGGAGGAATTGATTGTTGAAAGGCTGCCCAGCACTCATCTGCAGGAAAAGAAAAGGGGAAGAAGTTAAATAGGATCCAACCCAAAGCTAGATTTAGGGAAATGGGTATGTAGGCTCAACTACACCATGCTGGATGTTACAGTAGTCACAATTCTAATGTTTCTATTCAATTCAGCTGGCATTTCAGCACCAGGCAGACACACGAAGTGGCACATCAATTGTCAGCCATAACAGTCTCATTTGCAGGTTCCTCACTTTGGGCTCACAATTGTTTCAACTCTAACACTTCGCAAAGTTGACTCTGCTCATTTCACAGTGAACAACTACCAGGCCCCTCATTTTGATGCGTAGATTTGGGGCCAAACAGCTGATGACCCTTCCCTTTTGTGTATTCTGACTACCAGGATTTATTATTTTTCTACATCGGCTATGCTAGCTTTGATAGACCAGTGGTTGTCTCCTTGTTATGTGCACAGCCCATGCCCTGAAGCTGCTGCTGAAGGCTAGATCCAAAGAATGACCCTGTGTCCAATCGTACACAAAAGATCTCTGGCACTTCAGTAAAGGAAGATAAAAGCCAAATAAAAGCCAAGGAGAAATAGTTTGGGATGTAGCGTAAGTTGCCGGTCAAAACAAACAATAAACTGGAAGAGTTGACACTTGTGCAGCCGGGTTTCAGATGTTCACAGGGAGCCATATAGAAAGTTTGAAGATCACCTTGATCAACGTTATAGAATGCCGTGATCCTGACTTGCTTGCAGATGACTACAAAGACCTGATTTTCTAAGCGTGAGAGGGAATATCATCTCTCGGCTGAACATCTCTCTATGGATACGTCGAATGAAATTTCCTTCTACCTAATTGCTCTCGCCATGGCTTTCACCCCTGTGTCTAATCTCTGCAGGAAAAGAGAAGAAATCTACCTCCTAATTTGCCTTCTAAAGCTGTGGATGCTCCATCATTGCAAGCTTTAAAGAAGAGACTGTTCAGTCGCTTTTCTGAAATGGTATACAGTCTCTTGCTTGAGCAAGGGGTCCAAGGTCCCTCCCAACTCTTATTCTGTTCATTGTTCATGGTGACAGGAACTCCTCAGTTACTTCCAAAAAAAACACACAGCCCTGCTGCCCTGTATTATTCACACAATTTCATTATTTGACTTCAACCCATCTTCTGGCCAGAGAACGGAAAGAGGAGGAGAGAGTTTATGCTCATTGAGTATTCCAGGAATGGACAACCTGTGACTTGTGGACTGGCTGCGTGTGATTCCTTGACTTTCTGAAGTGGCACCATCTTTGGGTAGGTGCTACTGAATGCTTCATAATTCTGCCTCTTGGACTTGTATCACAAAGTATAAATAGATGGCACATCTCCCCCATCATGTGTCTCTTCTTCCATCTGGTTAGCACTTTCCATCACTCTTTATCCCACATTAAACAAACATGCTCAGCTTACCGCTCCGTACTGACTCAGCTCCTGGCTCTGCTTTTCTTGCAAGGCGGCAACTGTGGCTGTAGCCGTGGCCGTGGCTGTGGCGGCCGCAGCTGCTACAGCGGCTGCAGCGGCTGCTTGGGTGAAGTCTGACGGGGGTCTCCCAGTATGAGAAGGAATGCCCATTCCCCCTGGGCCGTTTGGGCTCCCTGCATAACTAGAGAAAAGACAGGGTTTATAGCCAGATGGCACATGCTCATGATACACTCTAATGATGGCCACAATCTAGTATTGGAAATCCTCCCCCCCTCCCGCAGTCTGGAGAAGGCGTGGGTTTGCATGCTGCCTGTATCCTGTGGATGGGGCTTTGCTTGTTTGCACGGCCTGGTTGCTGGCATGCTGCAGACTGGTGCTGGTCCACAGACCCCTGAATTAAGGGATCTCAGAACTGCTGCTAAGTGGAGGAAAAACAAGTACAGGAATTGTGTCATTTAGGAAACGTGAATGGAACGGAGAGAAGGGCAAGCATTGTGTCCTGTTTTTTTTTTTTTTTTAAAGGAACTGGCTACGAATATTTTAATCTCAAATACATTGGTCATAAACTACATCGCTCTCAGCTTCTGAGATTCCTGTCCAAATTATAACTGCAAACATTGGGATAACTTCTTTTTGTTGTTTTGCACTGTGGTTGGACAGATATGCGTGCATGCGTGGGGCAAGTAAAAGATCACAGGAAATCAAGAAATATAATTAAGATGTGGGATGCTCAGCATTAAAAAGGGAGAGACAGAGAAAGCATGTTTCTTTCTAGGCTCCCAGATGCCGGTTGCCAAACCCAGTTCCTCAGATGCTAATGGCAGGGTGGATTTCTACGTCCTGGTAAAATATTTTGGAGATGCAGTAAGAATTCCCATTGTATCTTCAGCTTCCACGCAGTGGAAGAAGCCGAGATGCCCACTGAGGCAAGGAAAGATGACGATGTACAAGTAAAATGTCTGGGAGATTAGGCAGCCAGACCTGTGATTATGAGATGGCATGCGCTCTACATGGAGCAGCCCTTGAAGAGTGTTCGGAGACTTCAACTCGTCCAGAATGCAGCCGCGCGAGCGATTGTGGG